CTGGTCACTCATATCCCCTGAATTGGCCTTTAACCTGGCACCACGCTTTAAATACTTAATGGGGTCACCATTTGCAAGTCTGTGCAAAGATTTCCAATTATCTGGATGTTTGCAAAGACCACCGAAACTAGTTATACTCATTAATTGCCAAAAACCGGTGTGTGTGTGGTAAATGGTGTGATAAGCATAATTTTGGGGAAGCTGCGTTATGACTGTGCTGTTTTTCAAAATTATAATTGTGCATTCTTATTCTTGAGAATCATGACCCATTGTTGAGACATATTTTCCCTGACGTATGTCAAAAAGGATGGTGGGGCATGTTGGCATGGTGGTTGGAACAGTATGATCTCCAGGAAACTTTATTATGTTACCATATTGAATTTAAAATTAGACCTACACTCTTAAAAATAAAGGTGCTTCAAAAGGTTCTTCACAGCGATGCCATAGAAGAACCATTTTTGGGTCCACAAAGAACCATTCAGTCAAAGGTTCTTTAAAGAACCATCTCTTTCTTACCTTTTTATAATCTGAAGAACCTTCTTTCGCCACAAAGAACCTTTTGTGAAACAGAAAGGTTCTTCAGATGTTTAAGGTTCTTTCTGGAACCATTTAGACAAAAAGGTTCTTCTATGGCATCGTGAAGCACCTTTATTTTTAAGAGTGTATAAGGCCATCCATCTGAACTTGCCGCTAACATGACAAAGTTGATAGAAATTGTTGCATGTTTTCTGTAGGTTGCGATTGTGTCTAAATAAACCCAGCTGTTTGGTAACCAACCTTTTAAATAATTATTTTAAATATTGAAAGTCAAAGTCATACAGGTTTTGAAAGGCATACAATCACCCAAAAAAATCACTATTAACAGTTTATTGAATTTTCTTCTGGGAATAGTCATATAAAACAAACAGCAACTGTGCAAATTTAGAACCCACCCTAACCCATCCCAACCCGGGTAGACTTAAAAAATTTAAAATAATAATAATAATAATGATAAAATAAAAATATGTATATTAAAAAAATAAATAGTAGTAATAAAAATAAATTACTTAACACTTTCACATTCTTAAAAAAACCACACATTTCCATCAATAAACCCTCAGCCCATAATACCATCTAATTATATCGTAAATTAAAGCATAGGTACCTAATTTGATTATATCAAAGTTTACACAATTTAGAAAGACTTTCTAATCTTTAATCATCATTAATTGCTTTTCTTCTGAATAAATTCCTGTTAATCCATTCACAGGGCTTTTACTAGTTAAATTACAGTATGATGTTTCCTCTATGTGGTGATGATGTGGTGAATAATAGGTCTTCCCATGAGGTTGTGAGGTTGAACGTACATGAAAGCCATAACATCGCTCAACACTTTCAGAGACAGACACAGGATGATGTGTAAGTATCATATTAGTAGTGAGACATGGTGTGATTGAGGCCTTCAATGAAGGTCTCTCTTCCTTTTTAGGAAGTCCATGAACAAGCTTACGTCAAATCATAATCAGAGCTGAATAAACCATATGGGCATTAGTGGGCATAAAAATAATCCATATGGGTATAGTTAATAGTTTGGTGCTCATCCAGATCCACTAATTTATTCAAAAATACTTAAAAAATCAATTAATATTTACAGTGACTTGAATCCATATTTTCTAAGACACACATTTTTTAAATTCTCAGTAACAAACAATTTTGATAAATGAGTTTTGAAGTCTAATGTGATAATGACAAATATAATCATATAACAAAGTAATTAAAAGCCTCATGAAAATAATAAAATCCACTTAAAACAGGAAATTATTTCACACACACACACACACACACACACAACATAATATATATTAGATGTATTTGAAAATAATGCTTAGAGGTTGTTGTAGATTTTCGATTGTTTTATTTTTATTTTTTTATTTTTTTTGAGTCATTAAATGTACATCTCTTGAAAAAGGTAAAACACGTGTTTAAAGTAGATTTTTAAAACACAGGTTTCACACAGTATATGTCAGCTCAGCTAATGTCGGGTGCTGGTGCAAGCTCACATTAATTGACAAAAGCTATTTTTGGTTTTGTTTTATTTTTTGTCTATAGTGAACTTCAAGTTGCACCTGGCTCTGGATCTCCTTTGTACACATTAGCAAGAATTGTAAACTTAACCTTGTTTTAACCAACATACACTCTTAAAAATAAAGGTGCTTCACGATGCCATAGAAGAACCTTTTTGTCTAAATGGTTCCATTAAGAACCTTTAACATCTGAAGAACCTTTCTGTTTCACAAAAGGTTCTTTGTGGCGAAAGAAGGTTCTTCAGATTATAAAAAGGTAAGAAAGAGATGGTTCTTTAAAGAACCTTTGACTGAATGGTTCTTCTATGGCATCGCTGTGAAGAACCTTTTAAGCACCTTTATTTTTAAGAGTGTAGTCTCTTTGCATTGTTCAGTCCAAGAGAATTTAGTATTCATTTGTGTCTATGTAAAATGGCTCCTTTTTCTGCAAAACCTTAAAATGGCAATACCATGAGCAGAGGCATATGAAAGCCCTGACTTCTGGCTGTAGTATTACTGGGCCACATCAGCACTTTCTTTGGGGTCAGGATGGATACCATCTTTTGAAACTAAATGTCCTAGATAAAGTGCATGTTTGAAATGTTGTAAATCAACGCTTTATTTATTTCCAAGGCATTTAGACTGACACCTATTTTGCACCTTTGTTGGGCACTGTGGAAAATGGAAGGGTTGTTCCAAGTTAAAGTGAGAAACTCAAGCCCACAAGGCCATCAGTGTATTCAACAGACTTTTTTTTTGCTATTTATGGTCACGTGATGCTGGGCGGTGAGAAGTAGTGATTCATTATGAAACTTGAGCTAATTTATATACCACCTTCAGTTGTTCTTGTAGACTCACGTCTTGATTGATGTAAAATATTACTATTATTAATGTTAAAACAGAAATCACTCATTTTAAATCGCAATAATATTTCACAAAATTACTGTTTTACTGTTTACTGATTATATTTTTCCTATATGTGATAATATTATATACAAAAGTGGATACAATCAGTGTGGACAATAAGTTATTATCCCAAATTGTAGCCCATAGATCCAGGATCTATGCATTGTTTAGTTCTACATACAGCTGAAATCATTTTCTGTAGGTTGGAATTGACCTTATGTGAGAAAAGGCAAAATAAAAGCATGTAGGCATATATGTGACCCTGGACCACAAAACCAGTCATAAGGGTCAATTTTTTGAAATTGATATGTATACATCATCTGAAAGCTGAATGAATAAGCTTTCCATTGATGTATGGTTTGTAAGGATAAGACCATATATGGCCGAGATACTGAGAAAATCGCCTTTAAAGCTGTCCAAATGAAGTTCTTAGCAATGCATATTACTAATCAAAAATTAAGTTTTGATATATTTGCGGTAGGAAATTTACAAAATATCTTCATGGAACATGATCTTTACTTAATATCCTAATGATTTTTGGTATAAAAGAAAAATCGATCATTTTGACCCATACAATGTTTTTTTGGCTATTGCTACAAATATACCCCAGCGACTTAAGACTGGTTTTGTGCTCCAGGGTCACATATATGGTTTAACAACATATACATGGTACTGAAAAATCAAGATCTGCCTCACAGTAGGAATGGATCTCTTTGACTGTAATTCTAAATTGAGAAATGTCAGTTTGTGTGCTATTAATGGGCTTTAGTTTTTGTTCTTTTGAAGCCGAGTTTGAGAGAGTGGATGGATTGTGGGTGATGATTCTCCAGTGGTCACTTCCTTATACCCATATGCATTGTGTGTGTGTGTGTGTGTGTGTGTGCTTGCCTGTGCCCAAAAGTGTTGGAGGTGCTGAGAGAGTAGGCCTTGTTTCCACTCAACCTAAATGGAATATTGAGGTGTAATAGATTCACACGACAAAAACACACACAGTAGTGCATAACACGCAGTTTCACTGGAGCCCCAACCCAACAAAATACTCAAGCACTAACTTTGAGACGAGATCTTTTCAATTCACATAGTGTCTAATTCAGTGTCTAGAAATCATATATCGCCAATTAAGACCAACACTGAGAACTTTACAGTTTGTCTTGTGAGTAATTCAATAAATGAGTGATAGAAGCATTTTTTCATTTTCATTTCTCATCAAAGCTGTTTGACCCCTGTAAATGCTATACCTAAACACAGGAAGGAAGCATGAGAATAGAAGTACAAAATGTACTGCTTGCACGAAACCCCTAAATGTTCATGTGTGGTTCAGCAAACACTGCAGTGAAATCAACCTGAGGGTCTTTGCAGAAATGACGAGGAATGAACCCGCAACCTTGCAAAAAATTGTCTTGTGGTCCATAGAGGTTATTCAAAAACAGCTGACTAGAAACTCATTTGAGTCGCATTCATCTCTGAGCTTTTCTCTGTCCCTAATTTAGCACTATTATCAGTTTAAGTTGTTCATAAAATACTCATTATTAGAGAAAGTGAAAGAATATTATTTAGATTTAAAAAAACATTTTTTATAATTAGCTCTGGAAATGTTCAACCAAAAAATCAACATAATTTCCAGAGACAACCAACCCACTATCACATGCAAATATTAGTGGCCATGGAAAAACCTCGACACAAAATGTAACTCATCTCAGAGTGCGAGACATCCTACCTTGATTCACTTTTGAAATCAACGACAGTTTTTGCAATTTGCAATTTTTTATTGACCACATTTATTAACCATTATTGATATATTACTCAGTCAATATGACCACTGATCCTATGAATATACAATCAGACTTTAAAGAAAATAAATATTTGTATTTAATCTACTTTCTCCTGATACAGAAGCATATTAGTGTTCATTCAATCTGAAACTCTTCTGCACGACTTTCCAAAATAACTTAATGGCCACAGGCAACTGATACATTCAAAATCAAATGTGAAACAGACAAATTGCATTGCATTGTATCTCTGAGGACCTCAAGGTAGTCCAGAGATTGCCGACCTCTTCATCTGAAATCACAATCATGCCCTTCATATGCATGATTGTCCTCCACGATCAGTTGATCTTGAAGAGGCCAAAATAGTTGCTGTGATAATTTTTGCTGATCAGAAGGGGGTGTGAGACATTGACAAAGAGCCAATCGGACTGCTTGAGATGCTGAAGCGAGCCTAGATGACTGCTGGACATCCATGGCTGTTTGCTCCCCGCCGTACAAAAGCCCTCTTGGTGATCTTCCATGATTGTCCGGTTGCGGCCGTTTCTCTGCCGACTCATTATGTGAGTGTAAGAGTCTCTGGGGTTGCACTTGGGTGAAAGAAACTCCACGCGGGAGTAAACAAAGTACAAACCGGTCATGTTGACCTGAAGGCCGCCATTGATGTACTTGACGCCTTCTGTGAAGGCATCACCGAGATTTGCTTCCCACTTCAGAGTTCCAGCTGATCTGCTCTGGTCTGCATGACCTGAACAAAATATCCTGATAAGATACTGTTTTGTAGCAAAAATGTTAACATTTTGTTCAGCATGCCTTCTGGACCAGATCTTACCTATCAAGTGTGCAGCAGAGTTTTGTGTGTTCTTGTTCAGCTCAGCAGGATTCAGGCCTGTGGAATGATAAAGCAAGCAATCGGGTCATCATGTTAACCAGAGAAGATTTAGCACAGGATGAAGCTGATAATTGGTAACTTGGTCACACAACTCACCAACTTGTTTCTGTGGAGTGAGGCTCTGCATTTGTGCGGGTATTTCCTGTCATTGGAGGGAAGAAAAAAAGGGTCACAAATTGTTCGTTACACACATATTGTGCATTAAAAAATATTCTCAAACTGATACAAACAGGTCTTTTTGCAAACATAGATATATCTAAAGTTAATTGACTATTAGTTATGAGAAAGAGAGGCTGGTGTTAGGCTTCTGTACAGATGAAGTAGAAGATTTCCTGTAGCCTTGTGACCAGTGACCACAAGTTTTTTTCTCACTTGTAATTCTGTCCTATACTCAGTCGCATGTACATGATGGAATGGAAACTGAAAAATGATACTATACTAATCAGAGATTCAGATTACATAAACAAGAAAGCTCTTGGCTGCTTTCCAGGTGGTGTATAAATAACTATCTATCAAGGCTTACAAATCTTTTACCAATTGTGATGCGTCAATATATATGTGATTCAGTGTACTGTAAAGCATTTGGACACCTGAACATGGATTTTAATTCCACTGAATTGAATTAAAATAGCATCATTCTAAGAACTAATTTCCCGTCTGGTTCACACAGGTGTCCTGGCAGTGTAACCATAGGTGTAGTTCACCACATTAACTATTAACATGATCCAGTAACATTTGGTAACCAGAACGTATCAAAATACTTAATAAAATATTATATATCTATTATATATCTATTGTTTTTGTTTGTTCTTTTTGTGAAATGTTTCACTTTTGCTATCTTTATTGAAATTAAATGTCACTTTATCAGATGTATTATAGATATAAAAATACATTCTTTTGATGATTTGAATGCATCAAAATACATTTTGGGTCACTGTATATATATATATATATATATATATATATATATATATATATATATATATATATATAATACACTGTTAAGTCACTCTC